ACACACACACACACACACACACACACACACATTCAAATAAACTCCAGCTTACCTTTTCCTCCTTCTAACAATTTTTTAACAGAAAGTCTTGGAAGTGGCTCTGTCTGTGGTGATGACACTTTGGTGGTTCGAGGGTTCCCCTTGCTGTGAAGCAGAGTCTGAAGTACTAGGCAATCTTCCAGCTGCTTCAGCAGGAGTTTCCAATATTCAGTGTCAAGAGAAAGGGCCTCCCAGGAGTCTGTGAGGGCTTCTTTATCAGCACCCAAAACTGTTTGGGAAAACTAAGAGAAAATGTCTTGGTGATTCCCTAGGGAAAATATATTTTTGTTGTGCTGGGTCCTTATACCTGGCAGGCAAATGTTCTACTACTGAGCCACATTCCCAGGCCTCTGGCAAAGACTCTGAATCAACATTAACTTAAATGAGCTTTTATCCTGACAGGTGCTGAAGAGTCAGGAGATATTACAACGCACATACAGATGTAATTCTACAGCTGTTAATACTTGGCTGGATAAGACTGGGGACTCAGGGCACCAGAGGTCCTGCAGTAATGAGTGTGAGTGGCTCAGTCAGTGCCCACTACAAAAAGTTTTTGGTCTTCCTTGGTGAGGACTGCTCTATAAAAGCAATCCTATACTGACATCTTTTCAGAACGTGCCAGCCAACTCTGTTGCTGCAAACACCTTTATCTAGTAAGGCTAAATTTAGCCTGTAACTCCCAGAGACTGACAATGTTTAGTGACACCACACAGGTTTACTCAGGTGTCTCTCCAAATTAATCTAGCATCCCTTAGGAAAAACTATTTGACCCACCATGAAATTAAGAGATGTTAATCTTAACATAAATGAGCCCTCAAGAGAAGAGGGAAACAACCACAAAGCAAAAGATCCATTCATATGTACAAATCAATACAAGGTTTGTAAGACGATGAGGAATAAAGACCATTACAGAACTTTACAATCAGAATAAACCTGTGAAGGAATAGTTGAACCCCAGCCTCTTCAGTGAGGAAAGCTGAGCAGGTGGCCCCTCAGAAGGTCACCATAGGCGAGCAGCTACAAACCCAACACACTTCTCATTCCACATGCCCTGGGATACTGAAGGCATCCCAGGAAAGAAGAGCATCCCTCCAGCCACTGGACAGATGCAGAGCAAACCAGTAGCTCTGCCCACTTGCCTTCTTATCCGTTACACTGTCTGAGATCTGTGCAGCAACAGAATGCCCAACATGTGCAGACAACAGGGCAGCGCCATTGTTCTCGGACTGAATACAGGCCATACGCATCTGCTGCCACCAGGGGGACACGGACTGGGAATCCCAGGTCTCATCAATGGCCACTATAGGGATAGGGAGAAAAGCAAAAGGCAAAGGTCTTACCATGTCACTTTGAGTGTGTAGTGTCTCATCTTTTCTGGTGAAACCAAATCCCTCAAAGACGCACCTGCATATTTCTAAGTGCACTAGAAAATTGGTATTGCAACCTTATTTTATTTAGAACATCTATAGTCTATGTCTTTAAGCTGTTAGTCAGCTTGATTGTTTCTGAATCAAATTTTTTTTTTTTTTTTTTTGGAGACTAGGTCTCCCTGTAGCTTCAGCTGGCCCAGGACTCCCTATGTAGACTAGGCTGGCTTTGATCTCACAGAGATCTGTCTGCTTCTGCCTCCCAAGTGCTAATGAAGGGATTAATATTGAATCTTATTTGGAATATTTTAATCATTACTATTAAATATAATATTTAAATATATTTTAATAAATTATATCATTTATTAAATTTTAAATGTTTACTAATGAAATATTTAATATAATAAATTATTGTTCTGATAATCACTTTACCAAAGACCACTTTCATGTCATGCTGTCTTCTTTTAATGATACAATTTTATTTTCATGCACTGCAAGCTTTTTACTAATGTATCAAAGAATTTCCACAACACAATGTTCACAGAGCTGAGGATGGAATCCAGGGTCTTATGCATGAAAATGCTCTAACCACTGGGCTAAGCTGCACACTCAGTGAAATGTCTCCACACTGTAGTCTCCTTTTCTTGAGAGAAGTGACCCCCTCCCCCTCCTCTGTGTGGCATTTCAAGGCTACATTTTGTTTCTGAGAGAACTAGTGGGAAATGCTGACCATGAAAGTCACCGCCTCCTACCTTTCATCTTGCTCAGCAGGGACAGCATGGTATGAAGACAGCAGACAGACTGTGGTTTGTCCAAAATATCTTTCTCCTTTGAAAGCCAAACACTTAGGAGCAGAGACTGAAATGAGATTTAAATTCTGTTCAGCCTAAATATTTATTTTTTTATCTAATTTTTTTTGAGACAGGGTCTCCCTGTAGCCCCAGCTCTCCTAGAACTCACTATGTAGACCAGGCTTGCCTCCAACTCACAGAGATCCGCCTGCCTCTGCCTCCCTAGTGCTGGGATTAAAGGCGTGTGCCACCACAGCCAGCCTAAATATTTAACATGGTGGAAATGTCACACTTTCCTAGACAGCACACAAGTGCACACAAATGATGCAGCCTATGGAGCTGGGTGCTTGCTCTATCCCGTAATGAGAGGGTCAGATTGAGGTATTCTGTTTACTAAGAGAGTCTTACTATCTGCTGGGTACATGAATCCCACCTTTGCTATCTCCGCACAGGTTATACAAGGTCCTTCAATCTCAGCCTCTGTTAAGGAGCACACTACTAGGAAGGACAGCACTGTGAGTGCATTCCCTGATGAGTGAGGTGCCAGCTGCAGGCTCTGACAGGAGACACAGGGAAAGCTAGAGCTGGGGATCTTGCCCTTGCCTTGCCCAAGATACCAGGGATATGGCAGTGGTGAACAAGTAAATGAGCTATCAAACTCCCATTCTAAAATTGCTAGCAAGCTATGAAAAACACATTTTAAACAAAAGCACTTTGTTGAACATGCATGATTTTTAAGATGTAAGTTGACACATTTTTAAGATTTGTAAACCTTGTTAATAGGTTTCATCTAAGACGGTGAAAGTTTAATGGTACAGTGTCACATCTAGAGGTACTGGATTCTGTGGACCACCTTGACTGCTTACAATACTACAGTACCTTTACGGTGGAAAAGCTCAGAAAGGTGTTGGTTTAAATATATTAAATCAGATAATTTTAAAAAGTAAGGACTGTAAGGACACAAAGAAGTAAGCGTACAAAGGAAATGAACTTGCACAGGCAACTTAGGACTAGGAAGCACAGTAGTAGCTGGCATGTGTATCACTGCATCTGATCTTAACAAGCCCTGTGGCAGAGATGGCCACCCAAATTTAGAATAGTGAACCATGCTCCTAATCTCCAGCACCATGCACTTTAGTCTGAACCTAGATCTGTCTGACTCTTAACTCAGATGTTCCTTTCCTTTTTCCTTTCTTTAAAAAGGCTAAGAGTATATGTATACACAAATGCATACATAAATTTGTGTGAGTATATAACTTTGACACATATGAAATTAATCATGCACTTTTTTTTTTTTTGGTCTTTTTGAGACAGGGTCTCCCTGAAGCCCCAAATGTCCTGGAACTCACTATGTAGACCAGGCTGGCCTTGAACTCACAGAGCCCTGCCTGCCTCTGCCTCCCAAGTGCTGGGATTAAAGGCATGTGCCACCACCAACTCAGAAATCCACCTGCCAGTGCCTCCCTCCCAACTGACTGCTGCAACTGAAAGGCATGTGCCAGCACGCCCACCTCTAAGGTGAGATCTTATTTCTCCTTTTCCCCTTTCGTGTCCCCTTTTCTCCCTTACCCTATGTAGGACCTTAAAAACCAATGATGCTCTTTCTTATTTTCCTCAGGCTCATAAAAAAGTGATAGTAGTAACAAGTCCTGATAGTTACATACGCCATATACGTTGTGCCAAGCCACTGGCTTCTATGTTGAGAGAACACAGAAGCCATTGATGTACAGAAATGGGATCATTTTCTAGCAAGCTCTTTCTACTCATGACCCAGCGCCCTGCTAAGTCCATAATACTGACTAGCCTTATCCCATGCCTCAAGGTATCCCCTCTCCTCTAGACTGCTCTTGATTCCACATGACCTATTCTTTTCATTATGTGGGTCAGCAAACTGGTTCCTGGTGAAGAGACATTGATATTCAGCCAGAAACAACTCTTTTTTGTGTGTGTGTGCATGAGCTGGGAAGCAAATCAGAAGGAAATGTTTACTTTCAGGCTCACCATTAAGTTGCTCCTAGGACTGATTTTATTATAAAACATATGAGCAGAGTATACTTGAAAATCGCACCAAGTTTCTACAACCGAATGGTGGTGTATGTCTGTAATCCCAGCACTTCGGAGGATGAGGCACAAGGATCATGAGTTCTAGGCCAGTGTAAGGTACACCAGCCCCCCAGGCTAAAACATATTTGCTTATTAACATCCATGTGTATTTTTAACTGTCTTATTTTCTGACATATATACTTTCATAGACTGATAGAACAGAACCATTTTTAAAGTACCTCTCAATGTTCAGTAAAAGCCTACTTTAACATAGTCAATAAGCGCACAGAGGTAGGACACCGAAATGCTGGCTAAAACCCAAGATGCCTAGTCATATAAAGGAAAAGTGTGTGTGTGCCTGTGCTGAGGGCAGTAAGGAGGGAAAGCTGAGGATCATGGGCAACTCCCCTTGCTTGTTGCCAAAAGGGAAATGTTTATATTTTATTTATTTAGTTTTGGTTTTTTTGAGACAGGGTCTCCCTGCAGCTGCAGCTGGCCTGGAACTTGCTATGTAGACCAGGCTGGCCTTGAATTCACAGACATCCCTCTGCCTCTGCCTCCCAAGTGCTGGGATTAAAGGCGTGTGCCACCATGCCCAGCTATTTTCGTTTTCTTACTGGGTGATACTTCTGTTTTACATTTGTTATAATATAAAGATAACATCCTTTCATATTTGAACTTTGAAAATGTTCATGACAATTCAATACATCTTTAAAGGAAGTTAGTTTTCCAAGATCTCTTTTAGTTCTAATATATCAACTTTTAGTGAGTATCAAAATCTACTGCAAATGCTGTCAGACCCTAAATTAATTTTAGGCCAATCACAGACCACTACTTGTTAAGATTTACAAGAAAAATAAAACAGCCTTAATTAAATATAGTAATTACAATTTTCTTTGGTCACTTTTAGAAGGCTTTTGTGAATCATCTGTGATGTGCTAAGGACAATGCTGTGAAGCTAGTACTTCTGCATAACATCTGAAAGAAGAGCAGCATCCAGCAACAGCCACCTTACCAGTAACTGCTGAGGGCTGAGTCCAGCAGACTCCAGAGCGCGACACACATCCTCTGTGGAGCTCTCTCCATGCAAACACTTCCAAAAAAAGAAACTGCCTACCAAAGCAAGCAAGGAAACAAACAAGCGAAGCACGTTAGCAATGAGGAGTGACTACCTGGACTGACAATCTCACTGAACTGCCACCTAGAATTCCAGAGGAGCAAGACAGCATCAAAGGAAAGAATTTAATGCCTGTATTTACTTATGAGAGCAGAAAACAAATTCTTATAGGTCTTAAAACAGTCTCCTGTATATACTTAGGATGTGTGTGCACATGGGTGTGCATCCATGTGTGTGCACATGTATGTGGAGGCCAGAGGTTAATGTCAGGTATCCTCCTCAACTGCTTCCGACCTCATTTTTTGAAACAAGTCTCTCACTGAATCTGGAATTCATGGATCAGGCAAGACTATCTGGCCAGAGAGCCACAGGCATCCTATCTATGCATCTCCAGTGCCAGCGATACAGGCACATGCCACCACGCTGGTCTTTTTCATGAGTGTGGGGGATCCACACTCAGGTCCCCATGCTTGTATGGCAAGCACTTTACAATTAAACTTGTATGCATGGATACAACATGGTGCATGGATACCGGAATATTTAACTGACCAAAAAACTACATTTCATTCTTTTGGTGCTGAATTTCCAAACAAAAGGAATCACTGAGCTGCTGCATACTTCCACCAGGACATCCAGGAGAGGGAGGATGTAGAGAGAGTGTAGGAGTCACCTACCTAGAGCCACATACTCCTCTTCACTTAGCTTCTTTATGCTGAGCACATCCTTCTCATACTCTAGATATTCGAGGAATGTCTTTACAGGCAACACATCATCTGCATCACTGGAAAACCTGACGGCTGTCTTGGTATTCTGCTTATACTTCTCTAACAACACCTGGAGTTTAAGGAGTTCTTTTTCGTCAAGCCGTAGTAAAGCGCCCAAGTCCTTAAAAAATATGAAGAAGAAATTGTGAGCAGGCCTAAATGAATCTGCCACAAGTGTAAACCCTGTTATCAGAACTAAAATTCAAGACTGCAGAGCAAAAGATGCCTTTTTAAATTGATATGATGGGGCTGGAGAGAGGGCTCACCACACTGGTTGTTCTTGCAGAAGAGTCGGGTTCGAATCCCAGCACCCACATGGCAGCTAATAACTGTCCATAACTCCAGTTCCAGGGATCTGACACCCTCTTCCAACCTCAGCGGGTACTGCATAATATGGATGCACTTACACACATGCAGACATAATACTCATACACATAAAAAAAAACAAAAAATAAATCCAGTTCGGCATGGTGGTACACACCTTTAATCCCAGCACTTGGGAGGCAGAGGCAGGGGATCTCTGTGAGTTCAAGGCCAGCCTGGTGTACATATCGCGTTCCAGGCCAGCTGGGGCTACAGGGAGACCCTGTCTAACAAAGGCCAAAAAAGAAATAAAATTAAATTAAAAAAATAAATTGATATCACACATGGCAGGTTAATACACTTTGTTTAAAACTTAAGTCTGAGACAGGCGTGATGGCGCACGCCTTTAATCTCAGCACTCAGGAGGCAGAGGCAGGTGGACCTCTGTGAGTTCAAGGCCAGCCTGGTCTACACAGTGACTTCCAGGACAGCTGGGGCTACAGGGAAACCCTGTCTCCAAAAAAAAAAAAAAAAAAAAACCAAAAAACCCCCCCCAAAAACCCAACTTAAGTCTTAAACTACATTTCATGAATACAAGATTATGTAAGTAAACTAATCTAAAATACTATACACTGCTAAGTGCCATTTTAGAGTTTCTTTTTTTTATTTATTATTTTTTTTTCTGAGACAGGGTCTCCCTGTAGCCCCAACTGACCTGGAACTTATTATGTAGACCAGGCTGGCCTGGAACTCAGAGAGATCCACCTGCCTCTGCCTCCCAAGTGCTGGCTGATGAAAGTTTCTTTTTTTAAAGATTTATTTATTTGTTATATGTATGTATGTGTCTCTGTGAGTTAGTATGTGCACCACATGAGTGCAGTGTCTGAGGGCATCAGATCCCCTGGAACTTGAATTACAGGTGATTGTGAGTCACCTGATGTGGAAACTGAGAACCAAACCCAGGTCTTTTGCAAGAGCAGTGTGCATTCTTAACCACTGAGCCATCTCTCCAGTCTTTTAGAAAGTTTCTATATACTCTTGAAATGTTAAAATCTTAATAAATATGTATTATGTAATAGAAAATAATTATAAGCATGTTAGTTCTAACTCTTCTCATTCTGAAATTAAACATTTATATACTAAAAGCAGCATAAACAGTGTATCATAAAACAATCCTCATTGTGCTACGCATAAGTCCTCTCTGAGACCAGGAGATGAAGACTGAAAAGTCACAGAACCTGCCAGTCTTTCAAACCACTTTCTGATGCCACATGCAGGTACGTTTCCTGACATGGTCAGTTTTTGGAAACCCTGTCAATTTCCCACAGCAAGGAAGCTTTTATTTCCATGCTACAGCAGTAAAGCTTCATTTCTAAACAAGAGTTTTAACTTGTTATTTTAGGTGTTGTTTTTTACAGATAAGTAGTGCACTGTACAATGTTATTAAATACATAGTAGTAGTTCAAGACTCAAGTGTTCAAGACACACATGTAAGTTTATATGCACGATGTTGCATAAACAGCAAAAATGAATTCAGATTTGAATTTTAGTATTGTTTTAATTTTATGTGTATATTTCCTGAATGTATGTAAGTATACCCATGTCATGCAATGCCTGTGGAGGTCAGAAGAGGCCATCAGATCCCCTGGAACTGGAGTTATGGACAGTGGTTAGCCACCATGTGGGTTCTGGGACTCAAATCTGGGTCCTCTTTAAGAGTAGTTGGTCTTAACTGCTAAGCCATGTCTCCAGTCCTGTTTCTGTTATTTCAGTTTTTTTGAATAGGGTCTTGTCGTGTTGCCAAGGCTGGCTTTGAGCTTCTGGCTTCAGTGATCCTCTTCCATCTTGCATGCAGCTGAGGTGAGTATCACCATAGCTGGGCACACACAAGAGAGTTTGCTTCTAGTGAGAAGAACCTATGAAATACCTAGCAATCCTTCCTGTAAGCACTACTTAATCAACTCATTCTTTCCTGACTCACAATTGCTTTAGGCTATTGCTGAAGTAGATGGCTTGATCCTGAGAAACTGGCTTCATCATTTAGAACAGCAACCACAGAATGACATTAGGACTGTATTATTAAAATGCGAAAATCTAAAATACCAAAGACAGAAAAGAAGCTATCAGAATGTGTGGACTATTTCCACTATAAAGATTAAATATTCTTTCTTTTTTGGTTTAAAAAAATTTGATTCATATATTCGTGCATTTAAAATAAAAGGTTTCTACCTTAAGCCTTAACTAACTTTCAAATGGACAGGTTAATTTTTTTATTATTGTTTTTATGTGATGTGTATGAGTGCTATGCCTACAGGTGTAAAAGTGCACCCATGTATGCAGTGCTCATGGAGGTCAGAAGAGGGCATCAGATCCCCTGGAACTGGAGTTATAGATGGCTGTTAGCCGCTATGTGGGTACTGGGATTTGAACCTGCGTCTTCTGTAAGAACAGTCAGTGCTCTTAACAGCTGAGCCATCTCTACAGCCCCATGGACAGGTTAATTTTTAAATAAATATTATCAGTCACCTGACAAACCACTAAAATCTTAACAATCATCCCTCAGATAAGAAGACACTAGTTTCCAGGCTGTACAACCTGAAATGAGGAACAGTTATCTGGGAGAAAGAGGAAGATACCCTCCCAGGTCATCATTAAGAAAACCTCACACGTTTCTTGAAAAGAAAGCACAGTGCACTATAAGAAAGACTGCAAGGGACTGTGACTAGTTTATGTTTTAAAGAATCAAAAAGAAAACGTTTATTATAACTATTTTTTAACACTTCAATATAAGACAGACTATTTTGAAATGAATTTCAGTGTGTAATTCACAAAAGATCAAACTGTATTAATTTGTTACCAACATAGAAAAGCTGATCTCTAGAGTTTGTAAGACTCTTTTTTATGCTTTCTTTAAAAGAGGGCCAGTGAGATGGCTCAGTGAGTAAAAGCACTTGCAGAACAAGCTGAATGACCGAGTTCATTCCTCAGAATCCACAATAGGAGACAACCCAATCAACTCCCGAAAGATGTTTTTTGACCTCCACATGTGCCATACATAGTACATATGCACCCACACTGACAAACACATAATAATCAATAAAAAGAAACTATAGTTCTACCACATCAGTAAAAGTAAATATATTTTCATCATAAACTATTTCAAGAAGCTGTTTTATAAGAAGTCATGTTAAAAAAAAGTGTCGCTCCTAGCCTGCACCCCTATCCTCAGGCCTCTTGGGGTAAGTATATAGCGCAGCTCTCCGCGCCTTGACTCCCCAAGCCACATTCACCCTTCCATCTCCCCCGCTGTTCGCTACACCTAGTGTGGGACCTGCGCCACTCCTAGTCTTGGGGCCCCAGACACCTGGGGAGCTAATACTGCTTCCTGATCCTTCTCACCCAGACCAACATAGTGCCTTTCTTGGGCCCCAGAAGCACAGCTTCTGGTCCTGGCCCCACCCTCACCTCTCTCTGCATCCCTGGACCTGCACCACCGGCTAACTCTCCTAGCCTGCACCCCTATCCTCAGGCCTCTTGGGGTAAGTCTATAGCGCAGCTCTCCACGCCTTGACTCCCCAAGCCACATTCACCCTTCCATCTCCCTCGCTGTTCGCTACTTCTAGTTTGGGACCTGCGCCATCCCTAGTCTTGGGGCCCCAGACACGTGGGGAACCAATACTGCTTCCTGACCCTTCTCATCCAGACCAACATAGTGCCTTTCTGGGGCGCCAGGAGCACCGCTTCTGGACCTGGCTCCGCCCTCAACTCCTTCTACTTCCCTGGTCCTGCAACACCTGCCAGCCTCTTGCTGGGGCTGACAACCTCTTTCTGGGGCTCCGAGGCTTCCTTTTCCTCTCCCTGATCCTTTGCATCCAGTACAACCCAGCTACTCAATCCACTCCTTGAGAAATCTTGGGGCTTCTTCCCACCCCATCTGCCTTTCCATCCCTGCATGGCGCGGCCACTGCCAGGGTCTCAGGTCAGTCCAA